TAAGTGTGTCAGTGTGTCTGTAAGATGGTATAATAACCTACATGTGGATGAATCATCACGTGATGTGCGGTACTCTGATTAGCATGGTGGTGGGTGCACTAAATTTCCTCACTTTGCACACATTAACCAGGCTGTGCTCCACTGTTATTGTCATTCATTAGTCTGATTGGTAGCATATGTGTTTACATGGTACTGTTTGCTCTGGGTGGTGCTCAACTATGCTTGCTATGACATGTGATGTGTGTAAACTACTGTTCAGAAATTTGCGGTCAGTGGGTTTTTATTTATTTATTTATTGATTGATTTATTTTTTAAATTACTTTTGTTCAGAAATGGCACAAATTGATGACTTTTTCACAAGATCACAAGCAGATTTCAAATGAATTTTGCTATTTTTTAATTAATCAAAGTATCTTGAAAAAATGTATCATGGTTTCCAATAATATATTAGGCCACACAACTTAAAGGGTTAGTTCACCCCAAAAGGAAAATTATGTCATTAATTTCTCACCCTCATGTCGTTCCAAACCCGTAAGACCTCCGTTCATCTTCGGAACACAAATTAAGATATTTTTTATGGAATCTGAGAGCTCTCTGACCCTCCATAGACAGCAACGCAACTGAAATGTTCCCAGACAGAAAAGTAGCAAGGACATTGGTAAAACAGTCCATGTGACATCAGTGGGTCAACTTCAATTTTGCGAAGCTACGAGAATACTTTTTGTACGCAAAGAAAACAAAAATTATGACTTTATTCAACAATTCTTCTTCCCCGAGTTACTGTCTTTCGCCATTTTGGAGAGTATCACAACGCATATGCACACTTTACCCTAAGTGTAAACAACGCTGATTATGCGATTACATTCATGCGCGCGTTTTCCCCCCTAACGTAAACAACGCTGATTACGTTCTTGGGTACTCTCCAAAATGGCAGAAGACGTAACTCGGGGGAGAAGAATTGTTAAATAAATTGTTATTTTTGTTTTATTTGCACACAAAAAGTATTCTCTTAGCTTCGCAAAATTTAAGTTGAGCCACTGATGTCACATGGACTGTTTTACCGATGTCCTTGCTACGTTTCTGTCTGGGAACATTTCAGTTGCGTTGCTGTCTATGGAGGGTCAGAGAGCTCTCAGATTCCATAAAAAATATCTTAATTTGTGTTCCGAAGATGAACAAAGGTCTTACGGGTTTTGAACGACATGAGGGTGAGTAATTAATGACAGAATTTTAATTTTGGGGTGAACTAACCCTTTAAAATAATAAGGAATTTCTCTTGAGCACCAAATCAGCATATTAGAATGATTTCTGAAGGGTCATGTCACAGTCATTCCCAAACAACTCTCTTATGTGGGAACCTTGTCTTAACAACTCCACAAAAATAGTCAACAATAAAAAGACTGTTTTATCACAGACTGGTATGATTTCAGTTAGACTAAAGTGTTTACACAACATTTTAAAAAGACAAATTATTATTTTAGTTTGATTGAAATCAATCTTTTTAAATTGCATGTAAATATACTTAATGAATGTTTTTAGAGCTGTCTGTAGATCATTTCATGACAGCCTGGGGTTCTGTGAATCATCTCAGCTCTGCCTTTAGGGTATATGTTAATACTTGTTTAGTCTAGGTAAGTGTGTGTGTTTGTGTGTGTGTGTGTGTGTGTGTGTGTGTGTGTGAACACTATTTCTCTTTGTTTGGTGGCATTTCACTTTCTCACATTTAGCACAACCTCAATCACCCCTTGAGAAATCAAGATAATGATTTAGTCCTGCAGAAACAAAACTGACTTCACACTTCTGTCAGTTTCTCTTTTTCTCTGTCTTTCCTTTTTAACTCGCTTACCGGTCTTTGGCTATTTTTCTCTTTAAGTTATCACCCTGGATTATTGGAGTATTGAATATATTCTGTGTGAATGCAAGTTGAAATTCTGAAAAAATCTGTGTAAACAGAAAAGGAGCTTTATTCTATGTAAGATGCGTTTCGTAGTGATAATCTTAGTTATATGTGATGACTTAAAAGAGGAAAGAAGGAGAAAGACGCAAAAGGAACAAATACGACCTGGGAATTACTAACCATCCATTCGGATGATGAAATGAACCAGCCAAATATAGTAGTAGTACTTCATGCAGTGTAGATGTTTATGGGAGGATAACACAAAAATGAAAGAGCAGGGCTTCTTGATGAGTACATTAGATGTCAGTTTGTATGGGACTGTCCAGGATCGTGAATGAAAACACAAAACACCATCAAGCACTCACAGTTTGAATGAACAAAATTATGGAATGCCAAAATACTTTGAAAGCAAACTCATTTCTTTTACCATGCCACTATAGATTCAGTACTTTCACTGTCTTGCTCAGTCCGAACAAATCCTAGTGGATAAAATCAAGTAGGCCTAGTGCTCTATATTATTTCCCTCAGGATATTCTGTTTTTCTTTGAAATACTGAATACTGGACGGAAGTTATGAGACAAATGTGCTTCACGAATGTCTTTTCACATCTTTAAAGCTGAGTGCTGGAGAATTGAGCTGCATATTCATTATCACTTACAAAGCTGAATTGTATAGGACCATGTGATTTGTTATTAAAAAGAAGCATGTGTTGCCTTTTAAGCCATGTTCAAGCATGTCTTTTGTCTGTATGACATTTCCAGATGAGCTTTAACACTAGAGCCAGTTACTGTTACTGCTGTTGTCCTTCAGTAAAGGTGTTGTGAATCCCTTACTGAGCTTGATAGAAGACTTGATTATGGGTTTTTCATCTGCAGGGCTTTACACTTCCTTGTCCTGATGTTGTTATTATATTTGTCATGTTGAATTTTTTTTTTGTTTTATGAGTAAATGTAAAGTATCTTCTAGGTCTGAAGTGTGGACGATACTGAGTGTCATTCAAATGCCACTGGTCATTCAAGCACTTTTGTGTGACTGCTTCCCTCTGGTGGTTTGTTAGAGCACTGCAGCCTGGAAAAAAAATGGATCCATCTGACCACTACAAACCCCCCCCCCCAAAAAAAACTGTAACACCGTATATTTAAGAAGACCTAGCGATAGAGTTCTAATGTCTTATGGGTTTAACAGAGTGGGGCTTTCTCGGATCCCATTAATCAGGTTTGACTACTTGTGTTTTTTGACATGCACCATCATTGAATCCTGCAGGCAGACATGAGAGTGAGGGTGGATTTGTCTTCTCCATGAGTTGCTACATATGGAGGTGTAGTGTGAGCTTGGCTTATCCAGTCTGAATGGGCAAAGCTGTTAGTGGTAACTGCAGGTCACTGAACAAACGCGCATATAAAGAAGTGTTCCTTGATGACACAACCATCACTTTCTTACAGTTAAAATAATTTAATCATTAAATCATTAACTCACCCTCATGTTGTTCCAAACCGATAAGACATTGTTTATATTCAGAACACAAATTAAGATATTTGTAATAATGTGTCATCTTTTCTGTCCATTCATTTCAAGCTTTCATAATTTCATAAAAACATTGTAAAAGTAATCCATATGAATAAAGCTGTTTAATCCAAGTCTCTTTAATAGACTCATATTAAAGAGACTAATAGAATCATAGTGAACAGATTTAATTATATTCTTTTATTCAAAAATAAACTTTGATCAATGTACATACACAATGCACATCAAATTCAGTAAATGAAAGCTGAAATGTTATTGCTTGATGCTTGAGACCCAATAAGGTTTGTTCTTGTGTCAAGCAAGCACTTTTGAGCATCTGTTTAACATATTTCATAACAGAATTTTTCATTTTGGATGAACTATCCCTTTAAATCCGGTCCTTTTTTTATCCGTGTGGAGTATATGATAAATTCAGGTCATGTCAGTTTGTAAGGCACTGTTCACAATCCATGCCATTTCATATCTGTTTTACATAAAACAGATGAACAAGCCAAAGGTGACTGTGCTAAGGAATGAACTCCTAAGATGAGTTAACCAGACACTTACAACACCTATAAGTGTCTACACTGCACACCTGGTTTAAGTGTTCAGACAAATATCTGAGCTTGGTCACAGGGACTCATATTTTCCCCGTATTCACAGCTGTGCTAGCATTACCAGATTTTTTTTCATTCTCTTAAATAAAGCTCCTTTTGCGATAAGTCTCAGGAACATTCCTGCTGCATTGACTTCTTGATCTGAAGCAACATTGGAAATTCTTTGTGTCAGGGCAGTACTTGAAGGCAGACTGTTCATGACACGCAGGGCCCTGCTTTACTGCCTCTGTCCCTGCTCACCTCATCTTCCCTCTTACTCTGGGGGGAAAAAATGGCTCACCCAACATTGTAAATTTTGTTTATCGCTCAAAATGCTGCACGTCTGGGTCTGGTTTAGTCTGTAGGCTTTATGAATCAGTGGGGAATGAGGGAGGGTGAAGGGACATAAATAAAACATGATTTATTCTGCTAGGGGTGATGAAGCCAAAATGTCTCCTTTTCGTTCAGAAGAGAAAGAGGAAGAGGGAGGGGACCCATTTTGAATGCGTTTGTTTACAATAGGTTGAGATAACATTTTTAGAGGGATTGAGGAAGGAGAATGCTGCAAACCAAATAAAGAAGAAAAGTCAGGTCATGTGGGAGTTTAGAGCAGAGTGGGAGAGAGTGGGAGAGAGAGAGTGACTATAAAATAAAGATGTGGAGAGAGCCAGAGATAGGAGGGGATATGGTGGTGTTCTGGAGGGGGATTTGTTAAGAGCCCAACATAGGGGAGGAACACAGGAAATGAGCTCTCCATCCTGCAGCTAAATCTGACCTTTTGGCTCATGATCAAATGCTCCTCCATCCGAATACCATAGAGTCTCTGTCCCGGGCACAGGCTGACAGAGGGAGGGAGGGAAAGAAAGAAAAGGGGCACTTCCCCAGTGTCTGTTTGTGAGTTTCAGGAATTACACAGTCACGCAATAGGGGGAGAGAGAGTCCTAGACGCCCCTCCTGCTCCAGAACAACACGTTCCCTCTGACACAAACATGCACACACTGACCAAAACACAACAAAACGAAAAAAACGGTACCTTTTCTAACTCAGCAGACCACAGAAGTACTAAGGGACAACTTTGTCTGGGCATTGCAGCTCTTCTGATTCTCTTATCACTTCCACTGTGGCTGTCATCTGAGCGAGGGAATCGGGAATAGAAGAAACTGTTCTATTAATAGCTGGCTGGTGGACTGAGCGGATGGATAGAGGAATGGACAACTGAGGAAAATGACTCGAATACATTCTGCAAAATCTTTTTCAGACATACAACAAGGAGGACATCACCTCACACTTCTTGTGACTTGCTTCAGAGCACACTTTGTTTTGGGATGTTCTAACTAGGCTGCCAAGTGAACATTTTCCTTTGGTAGACCTCTCTCTCTAGTGTTTTCTTGCCTTGCCCCACAAAGTCCCCCACATACAAGTTCTCCATGCTAACGCTGAGCTTCGGTTAAAGGAGCTTAATGTGGATTGCCCCACGATGGAATATAGTATGACGGCTGTACACGTTCAGGAGACTTTCCAACTGAGGAGACCTTCAGAGTTTTGGAGCTGTCTCTCTATTTCGAACCCTGTTCTCCAGCAAAAGAGTCTCAGACGATTAGGCTGAACTTGACGTTTTGTGGATTTTCTCTTAGAACTCAATATGCGTCGTTTTGACAAGCTCAAAAAATCATTTCCATTTCTTGCTCATTTTCATGTGTACAGAGTAAGTCTGTTTTTCATTTTCTTGTGCAGCATATGCTAGGTTTCAGTATGAGGAATAGAGCTGGGAATTTCAGGACTGACTCGTGCTTGAGCATACATGTGTGTGCTGGTTCATGACAGCATCTGTGTTGGTGTGAAACCGAATCATGCTTTTACATGTGTCAGAGCTTAGCTTTGTTCATGGATATCATCAGACCATACCAGAGCCTGACCCTAACATTACATGAAACCTTCACAATGCATTACTTACGAGCATTATGTCTAACAGTTTTTCTCACACACTGTCAGAAATCAGGTGTTTTTTTCATTTGTTTGCCATTTATTTAGTATTAAGTGTGCGTCCATTAATCCGTTCTTGTTGACTTTAATTGCATCATCGTAATTTTGCCAGTCTTTGTAGCTGATTTATTGTGCCTCAACATGGCAATTTATTTGTAATGTTCTTTCTTAAATTTGTGTGAAGGGTGTAACAACTCTTGGTTGTAACTCATGGCCTCTGTCCAAGTGCCATGGCAATGGTTCCTTTGGGCTTAAAGGCTACAGCCCTCTAAAACCATATTCATTACTTCAAATTGCACAAGCTTCACTCGTTGCCAGTAGCATTGCTCAGTATACCTGCATTTTGGTAATACTGGAATATCCAAGCTTCGAAATGTTAGTGTTACCACCATATTTTCCAAATGATAATACCATAATGCAGAGTACCAAATTTGATTAGATATTATAGAGGGGTCTTGGTTCGTTTGGAATGCTTACAAATTCTAGTGAACTGCTCTTAAACTCATGATAGAAACCAAATATAACTTCTTGACTTGCCGCAAGTCGAGTTTTGCAAGGAAAATAAGCACACTAACATACTTGTACCAGGATAATCTTTCATTTGAAAGATGCTGTCCTATATTGTATTATTTATTTTATTGCAGACATAACTGCCAACATAATGCCAAAATATCAAAGTTTTGGTGGTGCTTCCTTCAGTTGGCTGTGAAAATGACCTGAAATTAACAGATTTAACCAAACCATTTTACAATATAGCAACAATTATAAATTATCACTTTTTATACCAGTATTTTATACTACAACTACTACTACTACTAATTAGTAGTAATAATTATTTTTTATTGGGGTGTTAGTGTGTTTAAAAAAAAAGTTTTTTTATGTTTAAATTTTTCTATTAAAAGAAAGGACCTTGGCCACTGTGTTTCTAATTGAAACTTGGGAGTGGGCCCTTTTGACTTATCAGCGACTTAGCAACCATTCAAGGTCCACCTCTTTTCAGAAAATTGACACATTTTCATAGGGATGCACGATATTACTGGAACGTTATCAGAATCTTTAAGCCTAAAATGTAAACATCACATTGGCCGATAAAAAAAAAAAATGCCGATATACCTTGCTGATAAGACAAATAACTCATATGTGCTCAGGGTGTGATAGTGATAAGATCACGTCAGCAGTGTGGTCATTCTTCAAGCAAACCTTTTTCCTTAATGAGGATTAGATTCACTGTTTTGGATCGCCACATTCAATTTGAGAATGCAAGTAGAGAATGATGGGTCCTGTGTGCAATAGATTCAACAGTCACTAACATGTGCATCAGTGGCAACAGCAACAACAGCCTCCCCCGGGTCCTAATGCCCATTCGCTATGGCGTTTTATTTACTTAGGAGCTGCTGTAGGTCTACTTGTAATAAAATTAAAGTAAAATACACAAATAACATTAAGATACTTGTGTTTCTGAATAAATAAAGCAGTAATTGATGTCATAAAATCACGAGTCTGTTCTGATTTAGAGGTCAGAAGCTATAGCTTACATCAGGGTTCCTCAAATCTTGCCCTGGAGGGCCAATGCGCTGCAGAGTTTAGCTCCAACCCTGATCAAACTCACCTACCTGTGATTTTCTAATGATCCTGAAGACATTGATTTGCATGCTCAGGTGTGTTTGATTAGGGTTAGAGCTAAACTCTGCAGGAAAGTGGATCTCGTGGGCCAGATTTGAGGATCCCTGGCTTACATGATTAAAAATCACAAACATGACACTTGTAAATTAAATAATTTAATATATACAGATTTATTCATTAATATGTAATATATTTTTTCAAATGTATTATGAAAACTTAAATACAAGGAGCTCTAAAAGAGTTTTAGATTTTTCACAGCTGTTTTGCTTTAGACCATCTTCACCCACAGGACAAGTGTTTTTCCTCCTCTGCAGAGGCCTGGATTCCTCTTTCTCTCTTTCACACATCCCCCTTACTCTTTTGCACAGGAGAGATGTTTCCTGTATGTTCAGAGGTATATTTAAACGTTGCCTCCTAAGTTTGCAAGCCAGCAGGGTAGACAGGAAATATTGAAGTATATTTGGGCATGTTGGATCTGTTCCCAGTTTAAGTGTGAAAGGCTGCTGGGAAGTTCAGTGTGGGGGAGGGATATGGCTGTTTGAAGATGTAGATTACTATTTTGTCAATATAAACTGAAATATAAAATATAAAACAATATAAAAGCAGTTTTTCAGTGAGACTTGCTAATGCAAGCATCACTGTTATAGGGCTTTATGGAACTTTTTCTTTTTTCTAAATTGTGTTTTTAGTTTTAATTTTTCTGGATTCTATTTTAATGGTTTAATTAAATTTTAACAATCAAAAAGCATCTAATTAATTGAATTTATAAAACTTTAACAACTCATTCAGTCTGATATATGTAAGTTTTACATTTAAATAAATATAAATAAATACTTGAATACATTAATTCAAAATTCTGTGGCATTCAGCGATGAACAGGATTTTTTTTTTATGACAGATTTCGCAATTTCTGCATCATGGAAATCATAGAGCACTACTATTACTATTGCTCATACTTGAAGTTAAAAAAACAAAGAGAGAAAGAACACAGAAATTTCAGTGTGTGACTATGCTCTAAATGTTATTGATATTTAAATTAAAGTCAAAAAGGCACTGATCCTTACGACCCATGACTTTTCATGTGTCAACAGAGGAAGCACTTTGGGCACAAAAGGCTGCTTGTGCTCTCTCTCTTTTCTGACACTTATTCAAGAAACCTGTTGACTTTGTAACCCCTTGTTTTACATGAATATCTCGGCAAGCTTCCGCCACTTTTACAATACCGCAGCATCTGAAGATGTCTGTCTGCACAGAGACCAACTGTTTAAAAAAGAGCTCTGACAGAACACAATATATTCACTTCTAATTTTTTTTTGTTTATTGGATGGGTGTTTCTTCCACAGTAATGTAATACCTTTATATTAATTATCTTAGTTTCAGCAAATGTTGATTTATGATTATATGTAGTGGTCGACTAATATATCTGCTTTAGCCGGTATTTGCAGTGGCGTAAGTTTGTCTTAAAAAGTGGTGTGGACAGGGCGGGAAGGTGGTGGGTGAGGTTACATCTGCTTTGAATATTGCATACAAAAAATGATAAAATTAAAAATATTATTGTCTACAAATTATTTGCTAAACTTATTGCAAAAATAAATATAATATTCAAGCACTTTTATGAAAGATCAGTAACCAGCGCATCATAAAGATTTTTTCAAATAAAAAAAGTTAGATTTAAGACAAATTATAAAGGAAAAAGTGTCCTTTGCTTGGACAAAATGCTGCACATTTCTTTGTGAAACAGAAATATGTCAAATAACAAAACTAAATTGAAATTTTAAAGGGGTCATATGATGCGATTTTAAGTTTTCCTTTCTCTTTGGAGTGTTACAAGCTGTTCGTGAATAGATAAGATCCCTAAAGTTGCAAAGACTAAAGTCTCAAACCCAAAGAGATATTCTTTATAAAGTTAAGACATGTTTTTAGCAACATCATATGATCCCTTTAAAACAAACCCTAAATCTAATCAAATAAATAAGAAAAAAAAATCTCTTTATATAAACAAAGGCTACCTGTGCTCTTTCCATTCAAAATTAGAGGCAACCACTGCATTTCAATCACAATCTAAACAAAGATGCTGAATAATAATTGGTGTTAATCTGGGACCTGGTGCTAATTTCCTTAATTATATGACAAACCCTATTTAACTAGCCGCATTCCTCCAATTTTCACTGAGATTGCAAGATGCTGAGCCGGTCTAAGGTGACTGAAACTCTGCGACAGGAGGTTGCCCAGATGAAGGCCAAAGGGGTTGACCCTTTCAGCCAATGCAAGAGAAGTTGGTCATTCCAAATCTAATTTCTTGTATATTGCAGCTTTACACTTTATTGCAGCTTTACACTGACACTAAGTCCCCCAAAAGGCTGGTTGTCCATGTAAGACAAATGTACGAGAAGACGGGATAATGCAGAGACTCCTAATGGGGAATCAGTTCAACACTGCAGCTGGAATTGCTTGCCAGTTCAGTGCTGGCATGTTTAAGAGAAGTCGGACTGAAAGTGCACTCTGCAGTGACCAAGCATCTCATCAGCAGAAAGAAACAAAATGCTAAGCTCACCTTTGCTGAGGAGCATGTTGTGTGGAGAGAGGAGAACTGGTCCAAAGTTCATTTTAGTGATGAGAGCCAGGTTGATTTATTTGGGTCGGATGGGAACCATTTTGTTCGGCGTCAAACTGAGGAAAGACTGAAGCCCATGTGCGTAAAGAAGTCTGTGAAAGGCGGAGGAGGAAGTGTCATGGTTTGGGGGATGTTTTCTGCAGCAGGAGTTGGGCCTCTTATACAGCTACATGGCAAGGTGAATGCAATGTTTATCAGAACCTCCTTCAGCAACATGCAGTTCCTTCCCTGCAAGCATCTCCCAATCAGCCTGCAATTTTCATGCAAGACAATGCCCCCATCACACTGCAAAACAGGTAAAGCAGTTCCTTGAAGCTAAGAACATTGAAATAATGAAATGGCCGGCCCAGAGTCCTGATCGAAACTTGATTGAAAATCTCTGTAAAATCCTTGGCGACAAAGTTATGGCTAAGAAACCCACTACAGTTACCATACTATGGAAGAGAGTGGAAAAATCAAGTCAAGTCACCTTTATTTGTATAGTGCTTTATACAATAGCCTACTGGTTGTGTAAAAGCAGCTTTACAGTGTCAACCAGGAAAATAGTTTGTCAATAAGGCAAGAAGACAATAACAGAGTCATTTTTCAGCTAAAGTCAGTTCATTGATGATTCAGTGTTGTCATCATCCAGTTCAGCTCTCTTCCAATAGTGTCTGTGCAATCAGTCAAGCGTCCCCAACTAAGCAAGCCAAAGGTGAGAGTGGCAAGGAACCAAAACTCCATCTGTGACAGAAATGGAGAAAAAAACCTTGGGAGAAAGCAGGCTCAGCCTGGGGGGCAGTTCTCCTCTTGCCTGATGAAACCAGCATGGCGTGGTTTAATTCCAGGCTGCAACACAGGGGCTATGGTGACCTCAAAATAAGAATGAAAGAGACCAATATTAGCGTAGATGCCATTCTTCTCACGATGTAGCGAGTACATAGGATGTTATGGGAAGTGTTCCCGGTTCCGGTTGACCTAATTAATGCAGCCTAACAATCCAGGACTTTATAAGTAATTAGCAAGATTTTAAAATGTATTTGTTGTTCAATAAGGAGCCAGTGCAGACATAGGCGTAGCTTGACGTTTGAGCCTGGGGGGGCCAAACCGAGTCGGTCGATTTGGTCAGTCGCACTTTTAAACACATTTTAGTTTTGCTATAGTAAATCTACAAATTCATTTACATAGTGCAGCGGAAGCAAGCGTGTGAGGTAGGACTGGGCGATTTTTCCGATTTTATTGATTAATTCGAATTTAATGTTTTGCTGCGATTTTATCTTTCAGAAATCGAGGAATTGCGATTTTGAATAGAAATATTACCAAATGTTACAATTAGACACTTTGCCAATATGCCAATCACAACAGTAAAGAGAAAAGAACGATCCAACCACATGTCGTGCACGTGATTAACCGCTCACGTGTGACGTGCTCATATCATGAGGCGCCGTTCACACAGAATGCGCTTTTGTGTTGACAAAGATGCAACATGGACAGTGGAATAGAAAAAACATGCAAGAAGATGTGAGTGAACTTCTTTTAATTTGAGCGCTGCATTTTTATAATGCCATTTCATTCGTGAGATGCTGCAAGAGATGCTAGTGCAACAGTCAAACGTGTCCATGTTTACATAGAAAAATCAATGGAAAAGCAGCGCAATCGAATAAAAAACCTGTAAAGAACTACTACTGTATGTCTAATATTTCATGTTTGCATCATGGTGACAGGCTGAAAGCTGCTGTTCATTGTTTTCACAGAACATTTATTGTTAATAGTCTACTGATGTTATTCCTTCAGAAGTCAGAAAGAGCTTTATTACCAAGTATGTTTACACAGACAAGGAATATGACTATAGTGACAGGAGCTTCCAATGCAGAAGAAAGTATGGACATAGTGCAAACTAATGCAGCAGACATAGGAATTACACAGTAGAGATGGAGTATAACACTAATATAAGAAAAGCTGAAAATTAAATAATGCACTATATACAGAAGTAGAAATATATAGAAATGTAAATGTTTAAATTAATGTACAGATATATTTACAAGTGCGCAGTTTAGAAATGTACAATTTTTGGATTCTATGTATAAAAGCAGTCATTTTGAATTTGAATTACTCTTTTCTGCAAAGATATAGATAGACTAGTCATCATTAAACCAGTCTGTTCATTCAATGTTCATGTTAAAAAGATGATTCATTCATGAATGAAACAAGGTGTTGAAATTAATTTAACTTTGAGCGCCACTTTATAAGGCTCAGTCGACAATCAACGTGTCACCTGGGTAATGGCATTTTCCCCCCTCTTCTCATATATAGCATGGCGGGCCAAATTAAAGGTCACCACTAGTTTGGGCATCTCTGACTTAGAGCAATATAGTAACAAGCTTGTATTATATTATTCATTGTATATTTTAATAAATTTCTGTTACTAATACCATTTCTGATATCAATATATTGCTTATCCTGCTAAAAAAAAAAAAAACATTGCAGATAACATTTGAAGTAAAAATTTATTTAAATTCACATATCTTAAAAACTAATCCTGTGACTGATACGCTTCAAATCGGGTGATTTTAAGTTTTTCCTGTCAGTCAATGATGCTGTCTGCATAGTAAGATGGCATTACTATTCCCAGTCCAGTCATTATATAGATCAGTGGTCTGTATTTTACTGGTGACCTTCATCCAGCCTGATCCATGGTCTCCTCAGACTGAAGGATGCCTATAAATACAAATCGGCTATCGGACACCCTGCTTTCTAAGAAATCGGCATCTGCTAAAAAAAAAAGGTCATCCACTAATTACATCATTTGTTCAACTGACATATCATGTAAATAATTTGTGTACTGTCTGTAATTGATTGACAGCCCTAATTTCAACACATCAAGAGAAACTTTTACCCTATAATCCCTCACAGCTGCTTGTTCATCACTTTTTTGGAAGTGCAGACTGACTAATTGAGTCTGAGTGAACTGACTGAGTTTGAAGCACAGTTTTCCCCCATGGAATTTAGCATTACACTCAAAGCGCAAATATATGTCAGCAGTTGTATTGCAGTTTGCACACTTAGCAGCCTGTTATAGTTGCACACATCATATGCATTGTGTAAGGAATTGTCAAGAACAGAAGCTTAAAAGTTACACAGTCACATGCACACGTACATGCACACAATGTCATTCAAAAGGGCGAGTTGACAATCTCTCTGATCGCAAGATATGCTCTCCCCCTTCTACCCCCCACCCTCCCAGGTTTTGCCCTAATGTTGTTAAGAAGTGTCAGAGAAAGATGACCAGTGTGAAGGAGTGCAGGGGGAGGGAGAGATTGAAAATTGAAAGCAGCTGATGTCAAATATGTTCCAACAGAAAAACGAACAAGCACAAATGCAGACCATGGAAAACAGTAGCACACTTTTATTTGTCCCAGAGCTTCCAAGCACCGATGTCAGTGCTCTTCCATCCATTTGCTGCGCCACTAATCTGTTCCTCTTGTTGCAAACAGAAGCTTAAAGGGACTGTCAATGTTCATTGTTTGAAACGTGATAAGGACTTTGGGACTTGAGGATTTAGATTTTTATGGAGATGTGAAGACAATGTTTTTAATTGGGTCCGAAATGGAATTAGAGATGCAGCAGTTTCTGTGAAAAGGTAAGGTCTGTGTTATCTGGTTAGTTTTGGAGGTTTGGAGATGCTCCTTTTGGGAGTAATCAAATAGCTTTAGAGAGCAGCTTAACACATGTGGCCTGGCAGGGCCAATGCCATCTGTGTTTTATGAATTTCAGGTGTGTATGTTTGTTTTTGGGTGTGTGTGTGTGTGCTCACCAGATGTATGCCAGAGTTAAACAGTGAAAGTCAACTATAGTTTTTTGTTGTTGTTGTTTTTCTTTTTTCTTTGCCGCACACTCTAAACATTTAGCATGCTATCAAACGTGATTCAGTTCAATCACACTTTAGGACTTGGTCGCTTGTTGTTGTCTAGTTGGACACTACTATTTGTTGTTAGTTTATTTTGCTGGGAATAGCATGAACATGCTTGCTTCTGGGGTTTTGGGAGAGTCGTTATGGGGAGTAGCTCTGTGGAGTTCATTGGTGTGTCTCTGTCTGTGCAGAAGTTGGGCAGCAGTATGCAGTGTGAAGAGGGCACTGAGTGGCTGCTGGAGCTGCTGATGGAAGTGCAACTGCAGCAGTACTTCCTGCGCATCCGTGATGAGCTCAACGTTACACGTCTCTCACACTTTGACTATGTGAAGAATGAGGACCTGGAGAAGATCGGTATGGGCCGGCCCGGTGAGTCCAACCAAGGTGTTTTGCTTGTAGGTTCATTACAAATAATGCTTTCCAAAAGGCAGTGTACTCAAAGAACAGCATTGACACTTATGCAGAGATATAAAACAAATGTTCCTGATTTAAATTGTGGTGATTTATTTAGTGATAACCATAGCAATGATCAAGAGCAAAAAAAAAACTGAATGACTCTCTAAATATGGCTCTCAAGCTATTAAAGTGTTTACAGATTAGAGATGACATTAATTAGAAGTGAATAAATAATGGTATGAGATTAATACTGTATGTTTTAAATTGGCGTTAATGGAAAATTTTAAATATCAAATTTGTATTTATTTATTTTTTTAATTAAATGATACTCTAAATATGAAACTAAAACCAGCAGTAGGTGACGGCAAGTTGCTGCCTTATTAAAGCTACTAAACATATTCAGACATCACTGATTTGTTTTCTTTGTCTTCTCAATGTTGCTGTGGCAGATAATACAGTGAAGACTATCCAGTGTCATTTTACAGTTGAATAGATTATTCAATGGCTGTAGTATTTCTATACCTGAATATTACTGTTAGACCTTCCTGAAAAACTTAAAGCACTGTTAATTTATTTTGTGTCTTGTTATTGTATTTATTTGCGCTATTGCTTGTCATTTATTTATTTATTTGTTCTTATTTTCTTACTGACTGTTTACTTGTCTTTTTTTATTTAAAATAAATTCAATTCAGAGTTTGAAATTGAACAACAAAATCACCCCATAGCACTATCTATAGTTGTGCGTGCTTTCAAATTTTTGCATGTATCTTTACAATATAAATATGAATCAACACATAATTATAAATTGTAAAACACAAATGCATTGAGTGATGAAACATATTGGTTAGATGACTGTAATTTAAAAATGTCTAAATCAAAAAAAAAAATTATGATTTACTTCCTAAGGGTGGATTTTTCTCTATGAAAAGAGAATACTTTTCTGGTGTCCTTGCACATATCAAGTGACAATTACAAGGTTTAACAACTTAGCAAAAATTTTTTTTTTTTTTTTTTTTTACACAGGTAGTAAGCATTTTATTACACAGGTACATTACATTTTTATTCAGGTACATTAATTTGCTCCAGATGCCACTTTTGATAAAGCTGAGCTTGTTTTTAACCAGCAAAATTCATTAAATAATAGTAATTCTCTAATTTGCTTTTTTTGACAGGGCAAAGACGGCTGTGGGAGGCAGTGAAGAGGAGAAAAACCATGTGCAAGCGCAAGTCTTGGATGAGCAAGGTATGTCATCAGCCTTCCTCAAACACAGTGACAGGCTTCCAGTCCAGGGTCAGGTCCCACACACATCTACACGCAAGCAGCTGGACAAGGGCTTCGCTTTATTCATTGGTCAGTCAGCTCACATGTTCCCTCAAGCACTTTAGAGTCTCTAACTTGCAAAGTGTCTTATTGAACCTGAAAGGAATAAATCAAGAAGTAACATTTAAAGCACTTGACCTAGATGATTTTCACAGCCTTTCATCTTTTGGACAACACGCGAGGACTGGAATTGGGAACCACTGATGTAGCCTGTAGTAATTTTGTCTCTGGTATTCTGGTCTGTAAGCGTATATGCGTTCAGGGGGCGTGGCTTTGGACGGCGATTGCAGGGAGGGTGGGACGTTCGCTTTCTGTGCTATCAGGCTAAAGTTAGCATTTTCCAAGATCTCCTCTGCACCTTTAAGTTTATAGATGATTCTGTAGATCAGGCTGTAACGCAGTTTACAGCATTCTACCAAAATAAAATTTACAGCATATTGGATGATACATTGACTTTTGACAGTATTTTGGTGATGATATAAAGTGTACCAATATCATAAATATTGCACTGATATAAGAATGTGTATTTGGTCTGGTAAACATGAAAAAGTTTGATTCGGGGAATCACTTCTTTGTTTCATCAATTAAAAAATAATAATAATTTGTAGTAAAATTTTGTCATTTTACTTTCTTTTCTTTCTTTTTGTATCCTGCTATCATCATGTACTCTCCATGTTACCAGACAGGTAATTCCGTGTCAAATCAACCAAATTTCAGAAACGTCCCCTGCTCAAATTTTTGATTTTTAAAAAAATATTTTTGATGAAAAGACAAACATAAATGGTAATGAAAGCCGAAATATTAAGTGTCACTGATGAATATTTACTCAGTATTCCACTATTCTGTAGAGGGGGGTCAAAAATGCTAATTTTCACCTGAAATTTGGAGCCAAATTACAAAAAAAAAAACTGTATAAAAAAAATAAAAAAAAAGAATCTTATTTTTACACAGAGATTGGTAGGTCTATTAGTAAAGTCTGTTGACTTTAGCAATCTTTGTTGCATTATATGTAAATCATGACAGTTCGAAAATGGGAAAAAGCACTTTGAATTTTTTTCCCTCAATGTTTGCATGTCTGTAACTCAAAAAGTATTAGATATATTGATTTTATTGAAATTATTAATATATCTTGTTTCCCTCTATCAAAACAATTGCATGGAACACAGCTGTATGAATGCCATAAATATTATTTTTCCAAAGTTTGTGTGCCTGTAATTCTAGAAGTAATTCTAGAAGTATTAAATATATTTTCAATATAATTTCAGATTCTTGTTCTTAACATATTATACTTTTGGAATCTTCATTTTATTTGGAATCTTCAATCATCAAGGACCTACATGGTTCAGTCCCATAGATACAGAAATCTCAATGCAGCTTCATGTCATTTTCAATGCTGTATACAGCTGATACGTATTTAAATTGAATTGTCTGAAGAATAAATAATGTTGAAACTAGAAATGTAGCTTGTTTCCCTCTGTCAAAACAGCTGCATTGAACATAGCTGTCTGAGTGCTAAAAATACTCTGAAATTGTCCATATAATTCACAATAACAAGCTCACAGTAGTCCGTTCTTAAGATTCTATATTTGAGTCAGTTTCTGGGATATTTGGAAGAAGGGATTTTGTTCATTTTAACAGCTTCTGAACCTAACAAGAGTTCAAATATTGTAACTACATGCAACTGCATTGAGAACCCAGTAACTCTGGAATTAAACCATATAGGGCATGAAATATGAAGATTCCAAAAGAAAACTTTCTTAGGAACCAGAACCTAAAATTATATTAAGATATATTTAATACTTTGAGTTTCAGGCATGAAAACTTTCTAAAACAAAATTTTTGGCACCCAGAGAGGTATGTTGTATGCAATTGCTTTGATAAAGGGAAACAAGCTAAATTTTTTTTGTTGCAAAATTATTTGTTCTTCATACACTATTCTTTAAATTCAATAAGTATCAGCTGTATGCAAAGTGTTTCACATTTGGTTTTTGTACATTTTAACCGTTAATCAATTTATCTTATGGAGCCACATTAAAATCCCTTTGTTGTATGCAATTTGGAAACAAGCTACAATTTTTGTTGCAAAATTATTTGTTCATCATACATTCTTCTTTAAATGCAGTATCAGCTGTATGCAAAGTGTCTCATATTTGTTTTTTTGTTGTTGTTGTTTTTTTACAATTTAACCGTTTATCAAATTATCTCATGGAACCACATTAAAATAAATCCCAACCTTATAGGGCCTTAAAAATAGGTAAAATACCATAAGAAAGTGTGTTAAAAACGAAAATCTAAAAGGATGTTAAGATATCCATCCTTAATAGTTAACACAATAATTGCTTTTTGTCCCATTTTTGAACTGTCAACATTGGCATATACTGCAACAAAGACCACTAAATTCAATAGATTTTACTAATAGACCCACCGATCTCTGTGAAAAAATAACATGATGAGGCTGGCATCTTTCTAAAGTCATTTCGCATAAAGAAAATTTTCATTTTCACCCCCCTCTACAATATTTACTGTATTACTCAGTAAATATTCATCCATGGTATTTAATATTTTGGCTTTCTTATTCATTTATGTATTTCATTCACTAGAAAAATATATATATCAAAATCACTAAATTCAATAGATTTTACTAATAGACCCACCGATCTCTGTGAAAAAAATAACATGATGAGGCTGGCATCTTTCTAAAGTCATTTCACATAAAGAAAATAGTCATTTTCACCCCCCTCTACAATATTTACTGTATTACTCAGTAAATATTCATCCATGGTATTTAATATTTTGGCTTTCTTATTCATTTATGTATTTCATTCACTAGAAAAATATATATATCAAAATCAGAATTTTTAGCCAGGGACCTCTGGTTAAGTTGACAAGGAATGACCCAGATGGATAATAAACAAATACATGTAACTAGTATTATGAGTCGTGGCAGCAATTTTCACAGTGTTTGTTTCTATAATTTAACTTCTCCTTCTTAAGCCATTTCAGAGCAAATAGATAAATAATAAAATGCAAATTATACATTGTTAAAAGGCAAAAAAATAGCATCCATTTATAAATGTATTTATTCAGAAAAAGGCCTGCTTCTAGGTTTGTTTAGACTGTTGGTTTGGAGTAAAAGAAAAATAAGGTATGAGCTATATCAGACTGTGTAAAAGGAGCAGCTTGTTTTGCCCAGAATATTTTTATTACATACAAAAAAACTGACCTGAATAAATGCATACTTTGCTTTGAGCTGTTTCTGTATGGCTGGTTATAGTTTGTCCTCAGTATGAGAGTTGTTTTTATAGGGCTGGATGTCTGGGTGGTGCTGACCAAAGGCCTCACTAGAGCCAGAGTCAGTTTTAACCTGAGTAAACAGCAACAGCAGTTAGTGCATTTGCAGTTATGACAGACACATTTATTAATTTCTGTGTATTTATGTTGATGTGCCCTGCTCTGTTTTTAATATTTAAAATACCACTGCAGTGTTTTGTGTCTGTGTTTGTCTCTTAAATGTGTGTTAAGTGTATGTTAGTGCCTCACTGGTATCTCATTTTCTAATAGTGTACAAAGGTCCAAGGCTAGAATTAGAGAGCTCTCTTCCAGCTCCATCTGATTTGCCATGCCATTAATCTCCTACTATCACATATATTTATGTTATAGACTGTGTGTGCTCATTTACAGTGTGTGTTGAGGGGAAGTGTGTATGTGGGAATGAAATGCACACAGGATTGACGAATGATTGCTCTTGTCTAAACCATCAGCTTGTAGGGCAAATTCTTCTGTCTGTGGGATGAGAGGACATCTTGACCTTTGGCACCAGAAACGGCACACTTGTGTTAAATTAAGCACACACACACACACACACACACACAAACACACACACACTCATGTCTGGTCAGCTATCCTTGTGGGGACTCTCCATAGGCGTAATGGTGTTACCTTTTTGGGTACAGCAGCTTGCCATTGGTGCAGTACCCTTAAAGGGACAGCTGTGTATTTTATTTAACCCTAAAAGGCACATGTTAGTAGTACTATTACCTTAAGGTACTACTCTGAACCTTTTAGGTGTAGATAACGTATAGAGTTGTCCCTTTGATGGTACTGCCCCAGCATCAAGCTTTTGTACCCCTAAAGGTACAACATTGAACATCTGAAAGTGTACATGATTGTTTACTACTTTTACAAAGTCGGATATAAAGTAGTACATGCACACAGGTTGATATGGATGTTCAATACGTCCACTTAGCCTCCACTCAGCTCTTTCATACATGTCAAATAATGAAACAAACAAACACACATACACAGACTTATTTCCTCCCTTGTGTGATGGCTTTAGTTGCAACATTGGCCTGGGTATACAGGAAGTGGCCTGAGAGGATGAGAGCTTTCTAAAATTACACCTGTTTGTTTCCGTTCCTGGAACCAAGAACAGACTGAGTAATCTGCCTCCTCACTCCACTGTTAGTGTGTGTGGGCATGCTTTAGCTGACACTTACCCTTAGTAAGTGTTCTCCTGTTTCAAATGTTGCTCTCATGCAAATATGTGTGGATGCCTGCCTATATATTTTTGTGTTTGTTTGTGTTTTGTGACAAAGTTTTGGTGGCAATTACTACATGGACAGTAAAACCTGAATCATCAATATAGTGGAGAGCAGCCAACAATTCCCACTTTAAAACAGCATAACAAACATACTAATTAATATCTTAATAAAGATATAAAAATACAAAAAAGGGTCAGGAAACGAAAATATCATTGACTCAGTATACAAAAGTCAATGGACAGTGATGAACCGTGATGGAAAGATGCATTTGGATTTATTACTCATGTGAATTGTTATCAGACAGTAGTCTAGGGTTCAAGGCTCTGTCTAGATCCTCTATATTCACTCTGCTCCCAGTTCAGTTCTTCTATTTTCAGTCTGTCTGTCAAATCCAGGCTCTCACTCTCAAGGCTACAGACATTGCTTTCTGACCTTCTCTATTTATGTTTTCTCCTTTTTTGTAGTGTCACCTCTCCCTCTAATCTGATCTTTCTGTCTTTTTTTTAATGGGTTAAAGTCAGGGTAACCTCCTCCACCTTCCATTCCTGTCCATCCTCCTTGTCCCTTGAGTTTTGTAGCCCCTGGCTTCCCTCAGCCCACACTTTAGTTTTGATAGCTCAGCTCTCCTTGGCCAACCCACAGGCTCCTAATACAAAGTGCCTCAAGAGCCGATAAGCAGTTAGAAAGAGCAGTCCTTCGTGGAATCTCTCTTTCTCTCTCTCTTTTATCGCGATTTCTGCTGCTGTCCTTCTTTTTGTTTTTGGAATGTTCCCTGTTACCACATATCATTACAGGGATTCTTCAAGTTTCTGGTACACATTTGATGCAGTTCTGGCTGCACACAATTAAAACATGGTTTGTGCACATAGGTTGCTAAGGGCTTTTATTTGTCACCTCTAGATGTTGACTTTGTTGTTGTTTATCCCTCAGGTGTTCAGTGGCAAGAGACCAGAAGGAGACTTCAATCCCCAGCCGGCCAGTACGTTCCGAAAACTCACTGCCACACCTCCTCCAGTGGATGGCCAGCAGCAGGCCCTCACCTGTCTCATAAGTGAGAAAGACCTGGCCCTCTTTGAGAAACTAGGCGATGGCTCCTTCGGTGTGGTCAAGCGCGGAGAGTGGTTCACACCAAATGGAAAAGTGGTGAGTAGAGCTGCACGATTAATTGGTAAAATAGTACAATCTCGATTTAAACACTCACGCGATCTTATTCCTAAATTACAACGATTCAGCAATGTCTACTCGCATTGGAAAGAAAAAACGCACACTCTGCGCCAGTGCACACGCACCATCATTCATTAATATGGGCAGCGACATAACGTGCTGCTCAGGCTACGCTGATGCTTGCACTGTGAAACATTCAAATATGCGTTCGTGCTGCAATGAATGCGTTGCAGCACGAATCTGCGTTCGTGATTTTATTCAGAATCATATAGAGTTCTAGTGGTGATTTGGGGGAGAGGTGAAAGGATAAAAGTGTTTGGAAATACAGAGGGAGCTTTGTTTAAAAACATCAGCTTTGCAGATGCAGACTCAGTCATTCACTGCGATGTACTCAAGATGAGGATTCAGATTGTACCATTTATATTTGAGTGATATGTTTATCTGTTTTTTTTTAATCTCCATCACTTGAAATCTATCAAGTGACACCATCAGAAATTTATGACTATTGCACATTTTTTGGCAGGAAAGTTGTTTTTTGCATTCTGAAACTCAGATCAACAAAAGAATGGCTCTCAGACACTTTGTATCTGTGGTCCCACCTTTCCCTTAAAGTGTTTCAGGGCTCCATGTGAACATCCTGTTTCAGGGCTGATCTCTATGTGTCATTGTAGCAGCTGTGTTCTCCAGAGGAGGTTTGTGGGAGAGACGGGCTTCTAATGACCTGATGAGGGGTCAGATGTCGTGTGAACTGAGGCGGAGGCTGTAGTGATAGTGTGTGTTGCACTCCAAAGGGCTCTTTCCACATGGGACTTGAGTGGGAACATCTTTCCTGTGGCCATCTGTGCAGATCAAACACTGCTTCATTGCGCTATACAGAAAAATGTCAGGACCGAGCTGAGATTTGTCAACTGCTCTTTTCATACATGTAACATTCAGACACCCTCATCCAACTTAATGATTATAACCTTTTAGGCAAGCATCACTATTACTGTTTTTCAAACATAGAGATTAAATTTGAACAAACCCCTGACTCTCAGTGCGATACTTGTGCTGCATTGTTTATGATCTACTCTGTCCATGCTTATCACTTCAAAAAAATCTGAGTAGAGTGCTATTACTTTTCTGACTTGATTGGACTTAATCAAACAGTTTTCATATGCAAGGCAATTAAGCAGATGAAGAAAATGTCCTACACAACTGAAGCAACAGGTGGACAACATAAAGTGTCAAATTCATTCTAACAATGTATGCACAGTACCGACACTCTGCCAGGTACAGTTTTGGGGGCTGATCAAAATTCTTCTGCACTGCCCTTAAATTCATAGTTTCCCAAAACCAAACCTTCAAAAATCATTATTAAGGGACACACTTAGCATTGACTAGAAGATACGTTGTCTATAGGCAGTTTTCAAGTGTTAATTTGGCATTTTGTGGTTTGATACAAGTCTCTATCCTATAAAGGAAATTGCTGCACAAACTGAAATGAGACTTTTTTATGCAGTCATATCACTTTTTTCCTCACAAACTCGTAAACTCTGCAAAATAACTTTGTTCGTTCTTGAAGTTCAAAATCTTTTGTATCTAACTTGCCTGTGCGGTGATTAGATTTGCTGTTTTTGATTGACACCTACTTTGAACTTACAGAAGAATGGCATACAGAAAGATGCAATTTTTTTGCACTATTTACAGTTCTTTCTAAAAATGTAAAAATGTATTTAACAGTTTAAAATCTATTTAAACTCATGAAGTAATGCAGATGGGTCTGGTCATAATTTAGGCAGAATAATGCCAGACGTTACATGATTACTTTCCAAAAGGTGGAACTTCAGCCACAGTCCAAGCTGGCGCACAGGGAATAATGTTGCTCTGTGATTATGCTCTGAACTTCAGTGATAACCAGCAACAGTGTAGACACAGGTCTCAGAGGGGGTCATTAGCGTGTGTGGGATTGTGATGTATACAGGTTAGTCCAGCTGCTGGGAGCTCTCTCCAGCAAAGGCTGATATGTTGGCCCTCAAAGTCACACGCGGGGACTTATGATGAATTTGTGTTGATTTGTGTTGTGAGTTGTTCTTTCAACATGTCCTCCTCAGCTCAATGTGGCAGTGAAGTGTCTGAAGACAGACGTGCTCAACCAACCAGATGCTCTGGACGACTTCATCTGTGAGGTCAATGCCATGCACTCTCTTGACCACCAGAACCTCATCCGTCTCTACGGAGTAGTCCTCACACACCCCATGAAGATGGTGAGTGAGTGTGCGTGTTCACGTCTAAATCAAATTGGTGGCAAAGACAGGGTGCTAAAGTATCAAGGTCTTGAGAAGGGAGGGGTGAGCTAAAATAAGGCATGACATTTGCATGCTCTCTTAGACTCATTATTTGCTGACACTGACTTCTGGAGTTATTCCTGATTGGCAGTGTTCATTGTCTCCAACGGCAAGATGCTTCTTGTCAGAGCACTTTTTCAGTTGTTATGAAATGAAACTTAATATTGTGACCCTCCTCTCCCCCTGCTTCTCTTCCCTGAATGACCCTCTTTATTACCCTACTTTCTCTAAGGTGACTGAGCTTGCGCCTCTCGGCTCCATGCTGGATCGCTTGCGAAAGACCCTGGGCCATTTCCTCATTTCCACTTTGAGTCACTACACCATCCAGATATCCAATGGCATGGCCTACCTAGAGTCCAAACGCTTCATCCACCGAGACCTGGCCGCCAGAAACATCCTCCTGGCTTCCAGTGAGCAGGTCAAAATTGGTGACTTCGGACTGATGAGGGCGCTGCCTAAGAATGATGACCATTACGTCATGCAAGAGCATCGCAAAGTCCCATTTGCCTGGTAAGGGAGAGGGTTGGAGAGAATGGATATATATTTTCAATTTAAGTGTTTGTTTGCATGTGGTTTGAATCTTTTGAGAAGGGATACGAAGAGCTTTAAATGGCTTGGTGATTTTGTTTGTGTGCAGTGACAGGCCAGAGCTCAGGATTCAGATTGAATTTGAATTAGGTCATTGTTTGTGGCCCTTGATTTGATTAAATGAACTGTGCATGATCCTCATGTCATTTTCCCCCTTGTTGAGTTGTTTATTTACGGGCATTTTATTCTACTGACCTAATTTCTAAATGGTGTTTTTTTTACTTACATAGGTGTGCTCCAGAAAGCCTGAAGACACGCACGTTTTCTCATGCCACAGACACATGGATGTTTGGTGTGACACTTTGGGAAATGTTTACCTACGGTCAGGAGCCGTGGCTGGGTCTAAATGGTAGTCAGGTACCCCTCCTCATACACTCTGAATTTCCAATTAGTCATAAACATCTGCCTGATAAAAGACCAGCTTTGATATTTGACAGTAATCCTGAAAATCAGACACTTAGAGCCTAATATTGGATTTGCTTCTCAATAGTGATCATTATTGCATTTATTTACTAAGACAATCATGAGAAAAAATAAAATTTGTGTTTGTGACAGATCCTCCACAAAATAGATAAGGAGGGTGAAAGACTGCATAAGCCTGAGGACTGTCCTCAGGACATCTATAATGTCATGATGCAGTGTTGGGCTCAGAAACCAGATGACAGGCCCACCTTTGTGGCTCTAAGGGAATTTCTAGTGGAGACCATGCCTACAGACATGAGGGCCCTGCAAGACTTTAATGAACCTGACAAGCTTCAAATCCAGATGAATGATGTCATTACCATCATAGAGGGCAGGTGAGCTCTTATACTATAGAATGTAATGGGGCTTATGGGTTTATGATTGATATGACATTCATATTATAGTGAATGATTTTAGGACAGAAAAATATGTAAACAAGTCTACCCCAGTGGTTCCTGGTGTTTACATAATTTTTCCAGACATTCATGATTTACTAAATCATAATGAATAAGAATTTTAAAATTTTTACGATTATTATCCGAAAAATATTCAGTTTGGCATAACTAGAAAAATGTATGTTCATTATAAAAATGCCCATGGAAATTAAAGGATAGTACACCCCAAAAAAATTTATAAAATCTGTCATCATTTACTCACCCTCAAGTATCCAAACCTGTATTAGTTTCTTTCCAAACAGTTCACGGTAGCCATTGACATAATATGGAAAAAAAAAAAAAAATTTAACTCAGTGGCTACCATCAACTGTTTGTTTACCAACATTCTTCAAAATATATTATTTTGTGCTCAACAGAATTCAGGTTTGCAACAACATGAGGGTGAGTAAATAATGACAGAATTCTCATTTTTGTGTGAACTATCCCTTTAAACGTGTGATTCATTTGCATGCCTTTTCCAGGTCTAGAAATAACACTTCTAAAATTGTTTTCTCATATAATCAGGTGTTCCAAGATTGTGAGAATCCTGGATCTTCAAAGGAAACAGTTGTTGAGGGGGTGAATTAAAATAAGAAATATCTTGATTTTTAAATGTTTTATTTAAATGTTTAAAAAATCTAGTCTTAATATTATTTAAAATAAGACAAAAATAGAATTAAATAAAAGTAATCTTGAGGCCCCCTTGGAAGTCTGGTCTAGACCTAGAGATGGGAATTGTAATCAATTAAATTCTTATTCAATAATTGCTCCGACTGATTCAGTGTTATTGATTCACTAACAAGAATCTGCTCATATGATTCACTCTTTCGGGAATCACACAATACTGATTGCATAAACAGTTCAAGAACTGTCAAAATAATAATAATAAAAAAAAAAAAACTTAAATAAGAATTGGTTCTCAGTTCCCAGCCCTCTTTAATGAAGCAGCCAAATGAGATGCTAAGTTTTTGTCTTCAAACTGTCTTTGTGTGTCCTGCAGGGCAGAGAACTACTGGTGGAGAGGTCAGAACAAGCGTACCCTAAAGGTTGGTCAGTTTCCCAGGAACACAGTCACGTCAGTGGCAGGTCTTTCTGCCCATGACATAAGCCGTCCACTCAAGAACAGTTTCATTCACACGGGCCATGGAGACACTAATCCTCACCGCTGCTGGGGCTTCCCTGACAGGATCGATGAGTGAGTCTCTTAAACGTAATCTCACATGTACATTCTGTATTTTCTGTAGTTTTTATTGCATTCTCTGAAATAATGAGTTTTAATTGGTGATTATCCAGTGTTTTTTCAATTGCTAGTGGCAGTTTTTAAGGAGTAGAGTGGCTCTATTCTTGTGTATGTTCTTTTTTGAGAGCTTATGTATTAATTGGCCACACAGTCACAGTTATCGGCTTAACTTTGGCTGATTAATTGTATCACTGGCTGACCAATGTATCATTCTATCGCTGGTTTAAACATATGTCTGTATCACAGTGACATTATTGGTTTTGTGTGTTATGTAACCAATGTTCTCACAAAACATGTTCATGTTCTGCTAACCTCCCACAGAACCACACCTCTCTTTTAATAAGCTGTTCACAAAACTACAGCACATTTTAATAAATGCCACATTAATATAGATCAGAGTAGGGCTCCCTGAGATGAAAGAGGAAATAATACCTAACTTGTTCATTTGTAGTGAGCACTAGCGTGCAAAGTGTAACTCTATAGACTAGAGGGCCTGCAGCAGCAGTTGTATAATGTCTTTACTGAGTGAGATGAAACCTTGCGGGTCACACACTGAATGGACCGATACTTCTGTCATGGCCAATGAGTAAAGTGCCACTTTCATTATCATGGAAGTATTTGCACATGAGGACAGCATATAAGCACTTTGCTTCATCAGCACAAGGTGGCAGTAGAACACAGTACACTCTGTGTTTACTATAAACTTGGCTGCATCAACTGATATCACAGCTGTAAATACCTCCATAAAACATCCAGTGAAATAAAAGGGCTGCTGTTAAAATCTGAAATGTATTTTTACTACTTTGGTTATACAGTGTCATAAAAAATTCGTTTGGCAGAGTTCCAGAGCCTGTTTTTCTTGTAAACTTAGGTCTAAGAAATTATCTCCTATATACACTGATGGACTGCTAAATGCTTCTGTCATTCTGTTTCTGTTGCAGTCTTTATCTTGGGAATCCTATGGATCCTCCAGATGTGCTGCGGCTGGAGCTGAACTCTGCCAGACCAACTCAACTCCCTGGACGCACTAAGAGTGAGCAAATGCCTTTCAATTAGTAAGGTGCAAACATTAATAAACAGGCTTTCCATGGTTATAGAAAAACTAGAAATGTCAAGGCATTTTAAAATTGTGTTTTCAGGCCTGAATAAATCATGTAATGTAAAAAAAAAAAATGTATCACGGTTTCAACAAAAATACTAGGCAGCACAACTTTTACTGATAAGAAATATTTTTTCTCACTCAAATTTGTAAATGCCGCTATGAGCTAAAACCTAGAACAGAAATGGTTAATAGACGTTGTGATGACGTCTGATGAAGAGCTTTTAGACTCGAAACATCACCTGTGGTGAGAACATAATTAACTATTTTTCTACTTTTGGAGCTGCGATTTGATTTTCCTGTTTTAATAGACATTGTGTCCAATGAGGAGGCAGTTCACCAAAGAGTACAACCAAAGAGAAGAAATATTTGAATGATTTTTTCCGTTTAGAACAAAGCAAATAAACTACAGATCTGAGAGTGTTCTGAATTTTTTTATTGGCAAATCATTTTGAAATTTAAATAAATATAATAAATAATAATAAAATAACAGTTAAATAATTTAAATGCTTATCTAGAAATCATAGGCTGCGTTTACACTTGGCACTAACATGCAATCACTGTGATCCGATCAAGCAGATCGGATCATCAGTCAATCAGGACATGGCGCGTTTACACTTGGCAACATCAACTGACTTCTCTATCTGGATAACCGATCGGATCTGTCTTTCCCGCGCAATATTTAAATAAGTCTGCAGAGGATGGCCCCGGTGCAAAGTCGACCTGAAGTGGTGGGTTTTCTTTTGAAAACCATTTTCAGTCACGGGACATTTTACAAATCCCGAAAAATGAGGAGGATGAGGAGGCTGCAGTTATTAATAAGGTGGATAGATTCCGTTGTGGAAACGGTAAAAAGAAACATATTCCTTCTGACAGTTCGCGAGAGAGGGGGCGGGGTTTTGCGTGACGTCCACCTGCGAATGCAGACACGATGGCTGGATTGCATTTACATTACACTGAGATCCGATCACAATGCGTCCTCGACTACCTCTGGACCAGGACACGCTGACCGGATAACATTCCAATCAGAAGCGCGTTTACACTTGTCTTTTCAATGTGTATGTGGACAACATCCGGATACAGGTCGCATGTTAATGCCAAGTGTAAACGCAGCCTCAGGATATTATATTAGTGGATATTATATTATTATAAATAAATTAATTAGCACAGATAAAAAAGGATCATTTTATTAAATATAGAAAAAAAGCCAATCAAAATCATTTTCAAAGCACAAATATCAAGGAAGTAATTTTATTTTACTATTTACAGGGTATCTGCAGAATTTAAAAAAAATAAATGTAAGGCAATTTATGACCCATTTTAAGAGCTGCACAAGTAAAATGAACACA